TCAACCAAAAAAATGAGAGTCAGAAACATTGCATACAGTTTTATCATCCATGCAGAAACTCGGCAGGTAGCAAAACAGCCAAAGGCGCCCAAAAGAATGATGACAGTGCCAGTGCCAATGAGCACAAAGGAGTATTGGTGGCCTTCTCATTTAAAAGGGAAAAATAATTATCTAGGCTCACCTTGCCCCAAATGCCAATGGCAAGAAGGATTACACCAGTGATCCAGAAGCTGAAAGTGTAGATCAAGAGGATGCTCTTGAAACAAGTAATGACTGGTTTGGTCTGCAGTCTCCGAGACGGGGACGCCATGACTAGCCCACGACCCTGCCCCACCGCACCAGGCGCACGGAGCCGAGTTCTGGGGTTTTTGAAGCAGGGTCAACTTATATTGACCAGCCAACTTTGGGATTTGGAAACAATGGGGTCTTGACTTTAGCATGGCTCTCTAAGGCTAATAGGTCATGTAAGGGCAGTGTTTGGGACTCAGTCCAGCTAATAATCTCTGCTCTCTTCCAAATTAAACGTTTGCTCCAATTTGCAAACAAAACAAAACCCTCTATAAATTCAACTTAGTTGAATCCTTCCTGTAGTTTTAGGTTGGCTTTGAAGAAGGAAATGGTTCAAATTTTTTATGTTATACCTATGATATTAATATTTTCCTCTGAATTATATGCACAAGAGCGCGTACCTTGGATCAAGCAGATGATAGCATTTAATGGGCAAGTTTGCTGGACATGGGTGAGCATGTCTGGGAGTAAGAGCCTTGAATGCTGGAGTGGTGAATCCAGAGTTGGCACGTAAGGAATAAGGGGTCTGAGTTTTGATGTCAGCTCTGCCAATTACTGAGCATACCTGCTTCACCCACCCTGTGCCCATGAAAAAGAATCTCAGAAAATAATCAAATTTGCTTCCCATTGTAGTACTCTGAGTTGAAATGAAAGCTTTTAAAGTAGTTGTAAATAGATCATGCATGAATCCATATGCTGCTGTGTTGGTAAACTTGCTGATTTTCTTTCATTCTTTCCTTGGTCTGAACTGGATTTCACCAAGTAGGGAGTAGCTCCCATGTCACTGATGGGATGTCCAGTATTGTCTTCATAGTGGCTTTCAAAGTGCTTCTCCAAGCCGCTGAGTCAGCTGTCCAGAGCAGAGCCTGGTGAGGGCTTTGGAGGAATTTCAGGGACTTTTTCCTGTAGATCTCTGATCATACCCTCAGAGGTAGTTTTGAGAGATAAAATAGGGGGCTACCTAGCTTAATTTGAATTTCAGGTAAACAGCACATTCTTTTCAGCATAAACATGTCCCATGAAGTATTTGGGGGCATATTTATGGTAAAAAATTGTTACCTGAAATTCAAATGAAATTGAATATTTTTTTTTGTTTTTCTCCTACATCTGGCAGCCCAACTTAGAGGGGAGTGGGTAGAGATGGGATTTGTGTTTGATGTTGCTGAAATATCACAGGTATAAGAAAATGCCTCCTCCTCTAGCAAAATACCCTCCCTTCTCCAGGTTTGGCAATGCAGGAAGACCCAGGGCTGGAACCAGCTTCTCCATAGGTCTGCTAGAGTCTGGAGGCAGGGCATGGCCTTAGGATGTGTATCACAGTGGTGCAGGTGGGATGGGGTAAGAGAATAACCTTTCTTTGGCTACCTTCTCCTTGACTCCTGTGGCCTTGTTTCACATGGTCTCCTCTGCTTCCCTATCATCAGTGGCACAATGATTGCCATGTTGAAAAAAGTGTTTCTAGAGATTGTCCTCAAAGGGAATACTTTTCCATGCTACCCTCCAGCCTTGCCTTCGGCTATGCTTCTAAATAATTTTCTAGTGTTGGCATCCAAACTCAGAAGATTATCACCTTCCCTTGGGGCTCTCAAGAGCTTTACTACTGCCCATCCCCCATGGGTTTAGGGAGGATGATTTATAGCCCCTCTCAGATCCTGCTTGAGAGTGAGCATAATATCCTTCTCATGATTCCTTGGAGCTTTGCTGAGATGAGGCTGGCCTTTTAAAACCAGCGTTTACAACAAGTTCAGGAAGGACACAAGGGAAATGAACACAGTATCCAGAACCCAGAGATAGGATCTGAGATCACTGTTTCCCAAGCTTGCCTGATGATAGAATCCCCTGGGGTACTTAGTTGAGTATGTGCCTGGATTTCTCTGCCTTTCTTCTAGAAATTCAGATTCAGAAAGTCTGGATGAGGGCCTGGGAATATGCTCTTAAAAGGCATTCCAGGTAATTCTGGTTTGCAGCAGGGTTGAGCACCTCTAAAGTAGGTGTGTTATGGGTCATTCTCATGGTCTTAAAGCCCCTTCCCATCCTAGTTGCCACCATGTTAACCCCAACACCTGGGTGCCTAGGCCTGCCTGGTCTTTGATCTTCCGGATTCCCAAAGCCATTTATTTCCAAACTAATGAATCTAAGAAATGATAGGGTTTTGTTGTTGTTTTTTAAGTAGGCTCAACACCCAATGTGGAGCCCAGTGCATGGCTTGAAATCAAGACCCTGAGATCAAGACCTGAGCTGAAATCAAGATTGGGCGCTTAACTGACTGAGCCACTCTGGTCCCACTGTTGTTGTTTATAAAGATTTCATTCGTTCATTCATTCATTCATTCATTCATTCAAGATAGAAACAGAAGGAGAGCATGCATAGGAGCAACTGGGGAAAGGGGCAGAGAGGGAGGGAAAGGGACAAGCAGACTCCCTACTAAGCATGAAGCCCAATATGGGGCTCAATCTCATGACCCCGAGATCATGGCCTGAGCTGAAATCGAGTCTGATGCTCAACTGACTGAGCCACCCAGGCACCTGTTGTTGTTAATTTTCAATTGCAGATTCCTAGCTCCATTTCAGGAGAATCAGTTTTAATAGACCCAGGGTAGAGCCCAGGAATCTCTAATCTCTCCCTTTCTTTCTTTCTCTTTCTTTCTTTCTTTCTTTCTTTCTTTCTTTCTTTCTTTCTTTCTTTCTTTTTAGATTTTATTTGTTCATTTGACACACACACACACACACACACACATAGAACACAGGCAGAGGGAGTGGCAGGCAGAAGGAGTGGGAGAGGCAGGCTCCTGCTCAGCAGGGAGCCCAATGTGGGGCTCAATCCTAGGACTCTGGGCTCATGACCTGAGCCAAAGGCAGACGCTTAACTGACTGAGCCACCCAGACACCCCAGGAATCTGCATTTTTATGCTTTCCTTCACTTAACTTTGTGTCTCATTCCTCTGGGAATGTGATAAAGAGAGCAAGTGAACTGCATTTAGGCAACAGTGCATATGATAAAAATGACCTTGTGATAAAAATGACTATCTGGACTGGGAGACCTTTTCATATCTGGTAGGAGGCCATTCTTTGTGCTTCTCTGAGAATTATAACTCTTTTCACTGGCCTGTCCTCTCTGGGGCCCCTGGGCGCTATGCCTGTGGAGACCCTACAAGCAATAGTAGCTCCTGTGAGGTATTAAAGGAGGGTGGTTGCCATACTTACATTTCCCTGCACCTATGCCATCACCATGGGGCCAAAGAGGATGGCTTCTGGATGGCTCCATGGTCTGGGGTTCATGGAAGAAGAACTCCTGAGGCTACCTTGCTCGAGAGTTGAGTCTTCTAAGTGTATCTAATGTCAAGTGTGTCAGTGATGGTCTTGTGAGCCCCCAAATTAGTTAAAATTCAAAAGACCCCTGGTAGGCATCATAAATGACTTCTGCATTTGTTTTTTATTTTTTAATTTTTTAAAAGATTTTATTTATTCATGAGAGACACAGAGTGAGAGAGAGAGAGAGGCAGAGACACAGGCAGAGGGAGAAGCAGGCTCCATGCAGGTAGCCCAACGTGGGACTCCATCTTGGGTCTCCAGGATCACAGCCTGGGCCGAAGGTGGCGCTACACCACTGAGCCACCCGGGCTGCCCTGCATTTGTTTTTTAAACTCGGCATGCATTTTTCTCATCTATAAAATGGGGATGATAATATTACTTACCTTGCTATGAGGATTGTAAGGTACTTACAACAGTGTCTAATACTTAAGTATGTGCTGTTGCCATCTCCCTCCTCACCATCATCCTCTTCGTCATCCTCATCACCACCATCATCATCATCATCATTGCCATTGTTACTATGGATGGAGGGCAGGAGGGTCCTTTCTCCTTTGGTCAGTTCCAGTCTCAGCTACTAATTCATTGTATAGCTTTGGACCAATGGCCTCATGGATTCATACAGTAAATTTTAGGTTCTTCATTTATTTGTTGGATAAATTGATGAGTTAGGAGAGTCAGCTCCCTACTCCTTAGGGTCCTTTCTGGTTTCAGATATAAGATTTTTTTTATTTCTATTTATTTATTTGAAAGAGAGAGTGAGAAAGAAGAGATCACAAGCAGCAAGGAAGTGCCGAGGGAGAAGCAGACTCCCTGTTGAGCAGGGAGCCTGATGTGGAATTTGATCCCAGGACCCTGGGACCATGACTTGAGCTGAAGAGAGATGCTCAACTGTCTCAGCCACCCAGGCAGCCCAGATGTTAAGATTTTGTGTTACATTGGATCTGAAGTGAGAGTGGACCGAGGAATGGGAAAAGAAAAGAGAAAGCGTCCATAGGAGGAGTGATGTTAGGGGTGAGGGACCTGAGGCAATCTGGAGAGGGGACAGGTCATCAGAAGGAGATGGAAAGTGTCCAGCAGTTCTGCTGATCCTGTAGGTCAATAGGTCAATGCTTGAGAGGGAGGTAGACAGTTCTGACCTGGGAGTAATGCTTTCTAGGGCCTGTGTTTCCAGGGCAGGGCTAAGGGGATCAGAGGGCAGTGGTGTATGGCTAATAAATGGTTAAAATGTTTATTTTGGAGTCTTTCTTTGACAGGAACTGCAGAGTAGCCTCCTCTTTTCTGAGGACACCACTCACAATGGCAATGAGGATGAGGATTTCTGACCTCCCTACCTGGGAGGAGTTAGCAATGGCCCCAGCAGAAGGCTGCCCCTAATACTGTGTTTCTTCCTCCCTCTTTCAGGTCTGAACGCTGGTGCTTTTTATGCCTTATCCACTCTGCTGAATCGCATGGTGATTTTGCACTACCCGGTAAGGGGGTTCCCTGAGCATGCTGGGCCTGAAAAGAGTGAGATTTCTGTCCATCTCAGCAGGAGCTGGGGCAGTGATTAACTTTAGCTCCCCATCCCCAAGTTCTAGGTGGTGAGGTATGGTGGTATGCTTATGGGATTCGGAGGGAAATAGCCCTGGCTCTGGTGGCACTAAATTGTGTGACAAGCTGTTTAACCTCTCTGAGCTCTTATTCTCCTTTCTGCAAGAGAAACGTAATTTCTTTTGAAACATTCTTTTTTTTTTTTTTTTTAGGATAGAAAGTAAATAATACTGTGTGTGTGTGTGTGTGTATTCATGTGTTATATGTATGTAAAGCGCATGGCATGATGCCTAGCAATACAGTAGGTAAACGTGCGTACATATAGATCACATATGAAAGACTTAATTTGTAAAATAGGGGCAGAATTTAATTTTGAACTCTTAGTTGCTCAACTGTAAGCATTTCTTAAATGTTTCCAGAGCCCATAAGAGCTGGATTCTGGAAGTGGGATACTGTGTGTCCTGGGGTCAGGAATCCCAGGTCCAACCCTCTTTTGAAAGGACAAAGGTCTCATACTTTAGAAGTGGCAGGCCACTGTGGCTAAAGTATTCCAGTTTTGGAGTTTGATAGGTCTGAGTTCAGATCCTAGCTCTGCACTTACTAAATGCCTCATGACCTTGGTCTAGTAGGTTAATCCCACTGTGCCTTGGGGGTTTTCTCATGTGTAAAGTAGAGAATATTGATTTCTAAACTTACGGTGGGGAATTTTGAGAAGCAAATGAGATTATATAACTGTCATCTTCTTATTCCTTTTGGCACAGATAGCTCAAAAAAACTAAGGGTGGAATATTTGAATATATGTATTTCAGTTTCCCCATTTGTCAAGTGGGAATAATGATAAATAAGATAAAAGTGTTGCTGTAAGGATTAAGTTAAAAAAAATCCACATCGAAGTAGGACTAGGAGAGTTTGGTTGACCCCAGCATCCAGGATCATGAGCATGCACACATCCAGGGTTATATTAGGTTGGGAGGAACAGTTATTCTAGGAGTTTCTCCCCACTGGCAACTTCTTAAAGGCCATCTTGCCCTGATATGTTCAGAGAACTGACTCTAATGGAGACTGAATTACTTGCCTTTGCCCCTTCACCTCATGGTGACTATGCTCTGTCTGGTGACTTGTCCCATTCCTGGGTGATCGTTGGGATTGTGGTTTTCCCAGGGGGAAGAAGTGAATGCTGGAAGAATCGGCCTGACCATCGTCATTGCAGGAATGCTTGGGGCTGTGATCTCAGGCATCTGGCTGGATAGGTCTAAAACCTACAAGTAAGTGACCTCCTCTTGGACTGAACCCATATTTTGAACTCAAGCAATATGGCTCCAAAGGTTTGGGTGCAGCAGCTGGGAGTCTCAGTGGCCAAGTGGTCCACATTAATCTTCTCTAAGCCTCAGTTTCTCCATTTATAAAGTGAGGGAAATAGTACCCATTCCATGAGGATCTTGGTAAGATTAGAGATGGAGGACACAAGGCCTAGCACGAACACTACCCACCCCCCCATGTAGTTTGTGAAAGGGACAGATGAGGGAGAAATGAAAATGAAGGTAATAAAATGCCAGCAGTTGGAAAGTTTACGAAAATCCCAAAGAATGGTGATGAGGAAGTGATCCTCTGCGCCATTCCCCAGTTTCCTGTTGGACCCCATGGGTTGACCAAGATGTCTGTGCTTGCTCTGGTTTACATTGTATCATCTTGCAACTGCTTATACCTCTTTCATAAATGTTGTGATGTGCTTTGGGCCTGAATGCCCAGTGTGTTTCCAGGAGCCCAGAGCAGTCTTTCTAAGATTTTAGCATATGCCATGCTAATCCAGGATGCTTATTAAAAATAGATTCCTGGGCTCCACTATCATGGATGCCAATTCAGTAGGGGAAACTGCATTTGTAAAAAGCAAAAAGGCAAGCCACCCGGGTGCCTCAATTCAATAGCCAGGCTTGGAGAAAAGGCTCTGGAGAATGAAGACTCAACATGCTTCTCTTCCTGTTGCTTCTTTCCAGTGCTGTGCATGCAGTGTCTGGAGGCGACAGACAGTGGTGGACCTGTTCCCTGTCACACAGACTCGCTTCTGTGAGGCTCTGGTCAGACCAGGTCTCACTCTGGCTGCCCTAGACAAAGGCCAATTGAGGCCATCTCTGAGGATGTGGCCGCCTGGCTGAATACAATGTGGAGTCTGGCTTGGCTTAATGACTGCTGGTAGAGCTTGGCTGCCGTCTCGTCTCTGCCATCTGTCAGTGGCTTGCTTCAGCCAGGCCTGAGAGCAGTGAGGACTGGCCACCTCCAAGCCAGTGAACAGCAGTGTCCCTTTTTCCAGGGCTCGCTCTGTGGCTGGAGAAGGGAGGGATTGGAACATCAGCTGGGCTGGGCTGTGGGCAGCCAGATGATTTAGAAGAACTAGAAAATACAGTGATGAAAGGGCTGAGGGCACACTTGAGAATGTAGACGCCACTGTTTCCTAGTGTCACTGATGTCTGACCCCAGCAGTTAGCATGAGATGTCTTCCCTGGGCTAAGACCCAGGCAGAGAAAGGATGAGAGCTCTGTGATCTAGTCATTTTTTGTGTCAGTTTCCTTCTCCCTGAGGACAACTCCCAGACTTGTCCCATTTGGTTTGGAGGCTGGAAATTGGGTGGGTCATGTCTCTTTATTTGAGGCTGGGACTACATATAGTTTTTCTAAATGAGTCAGTGGTTTAAAATGAAGCTATGGTTAAGCAAATGTGGCAAAAGAGGAGCTTGTGTGGCCAACTTCTCCATGAAGTTGCCTTCTGTGGCGTGGGTGGGACTAGATGAAGGTACAGTAGAGGACAAGGAAGCTCCTCTACCCTCAATAGCTGCTTTGAAGCACCAAGTGGGATGGGCATCCTTGTAGCCTCTGCCCTTGAGCTTTTCCAAAGGTGCAACCCTGTAGTGTATCTGTGTGTATTAGTGTCCTAGATCCTGTATTGCAGCAGTAGAAAGAGCAGCATAGATTTCAAATCCCACCTCTGCATTTACTCAATGGGTGACTCTGAATAAGTAACTGGTCTGAGCCTCAGTTTCCTCATTTGCAAAATTAAGGCTAGTTCTACATTTCTTGCAGGGCTTTTGCAAGGCTTGAATGAAATAATAAATGCAGGTAGAGTGCTTAACAGAATTCCTGGCACCCAATAAATGCAGGATTCACTTGATTCAACCATAGTATATATCTGCTGGTGCCCCCACTGTGTTTCTGGCTTCAGGGGAGATGAGGGAAGGCTTTAAGCTTTCATTGCTGAGTCTTCATTTTGTGGCAGGAGGGCAGAGGGATGTGCAGAGCCTGCACCCTGTAATAAGCAGGACAGGGAGAGGAACACAGGTCCAGTTGCAGGAGTCAGGGCTGTTGCAGAGCGATGAGTGGGCAATATGGGAGAAGTGTGCGGAAGGACAGAAGTGGGGTAAATACCCAAGAGAAAGCAGCAGGTTGCTGATGGTCCCTCTGAGAGGACTGGCAAAGGGAAATGTAACAGGAAGTGGGCAGAGCATTCTCATTATGGCTTTCGAGTTAAGCACTTAGTTCAGGATTGGAGAACATTCTTGCTTAGTTTCTGCTGTCTGTAGCAGAGTAGTTCAGGTTTGGTGAAAAATCTGTGCCATTGGCACAGGAAAAACTCTGAGATGACAGAGAACCTAAAAGTCAGATCATTGCCCAGCATGGCCATGGGGTCTCAGGACAAAGCAGACCAGCACAGTTAGGTGGCTCCTGGGGTAGCCCCACACGCCACTGCTGCCTGACCATAGCTACTGTTCGTTCTGTGGAGTGTTTTTGTTTTTGTGGAGGATGAGGAAAGAAGGGGGTTGTGCCCTTCTTTCTTGTGGTGCAGCTTGGTATTGCTGAGAGGTTCTGCAGGAGGAGAACTCATGCAGCAGGACGGTTTCCTACTCTCCTGGTCTTACCCTTTGTAGCACTGGCCACAGTGTAATTTAGTAACCATTTGTGTGATTACAGGTTCAGTGTCCATCAACCTCATGGACAGAAAGTTCTGTGAGACCAGATGTCCTGGCATGCAGTGGAGGGCTTGACACACAGCACATGCCCAATTGATATTTGTATAATGAATGAATGAATGAATGATCCTGTTATAGTTACAAGTGTATGACTCAACTTCTTTGCCTCTGCTTGCAGGGAAACAACCCTGGCGGTCTACATCATGACTGTGGTGGGCATGGTGGTGTACACATTGACCTTGAACCTGGGACACCTGTGGGTAGTGTTCATCACCGCTGGCACGATGGGGTAAGTTTTGCCTCTCATCTGTTTAACTGGGAAACAGCATCCCTTGGCTCCTAGAGCTGCCGACATCCTTGGAAGCAACACCGATCCCTTTGTTGCCTTCTCATTGACCCCTGAAGATGTCGAAATTATAGCCAGAGGTCTTGTTTACTTGAAGCACTTCAAAAGGCTGCCTGGGGCTTCTGTGCCATTGGGATGGAGTCTGTCCTTCACAGACCTCAGGGAGGCTAGGAAATGTTTAGAATCTTTTGTAGCTCTGCCTGGGACAGTGTGGGGTCAAAGAAAGTGCATAGGGCTGGGGATCAGGAAGTCTGGGTCCTAGTCTCGGTTCTGCTGCTGGCCTTTAGATGACAGGTGTCCCCTAATTGTGCTGAAACCTTGGTTTCCTCATCTGGAAATGAAGATGAGGGTAGCATGCCTTGTAGAGTTGTTGCAAGGAGTGGGAGAGTCACAGGTGTGAAAGCAGCACGAAGTGTGGTGCAGATATAAGAAATTATAATTGGAATGCTCTGGACCAGTTGTATGAAAAAGCACAGGAAATGACACACCTTCCACAGGGGTCTCTGCTTAGCTTCCCATCCCAGTTATTGTCCTGTGGGCACTACACAAGTGTGTGTGTGAGAGAGAGACAGGGAGACAGAGACTTTCTCAACTGGCGACTCTCCAGAGGGAAAAAGGAGGACTCTGAGCTCCTCCTTCCAAGCCTAGAGAGCATAGAGATGCTGTTCAGTGTCCAGGGACTTCCCACTTGCAACACATAGCCTGGGGACCCAAGATGGAGAATTTCTCAGCTGCAGGCATCCCTAGCCCTTCTGCAAATGCTGACCCTGTTGTAACTGATGGCCAGACAGAAGAAGCAGGGGACCCCAGGGGCCTCCTGAGCAAGAAGCCTACATAGGAACTTCTTCCTGACTTGTAGGGGTATCTCTTTCTTGGATGTGGCCACTTGGGGGGATGGCCTGATTATTCAAAGGCCTGGAATGTCTTGATGACAAGAAACAAAACAGGAACAGGAGTTCTAAGGGAGGAGGCGAGGTGGGCTCCTTCACCTTCTTGTTCTTGAAGTTCTCCATCACCTTGTTTCTGTGATCTGGCCTTCAGCTTCTTCATGACTGGCTACCTCCCACTGGGATTTGAGTTTGCTGTGGAGCTGACATACCCAGAATCAGAAGGCATGTCGTCTGGCCTTCTGAATGTGTCTGCCCAGGTAGGGCTCTTATTTGGTGGTGGCCCCAAAACAGTGGCTCTCTGTTCCCTACTTGACTTGGCCTACTTGCAGGCATTGTATCATGGCAGCTCAGTTATCCCATGGGCTAGTTGGCCAGGTCCCTTGTTTCCAGTCTTCTCTGTGCCTCTCCAGGTATTCGGAATCATCTTCACCATCTCCCAGGGCCAGATTATTGACAACTATGGAACCATGCCTGGGAACATCTTTCTCTGTGTGTTCCTCACCCTTGGAGCAGCCCTCACTGGTGAGTTGGGGTCTCAAGACAAGATGATTCTCAGGCTGCTCATGGGCTTAGGCTGTTGGCGATTTGAGAGCCTTAGTGTTTTGATTGATCCTACAGATCGGGGACATACATGCAGAGGCGCAGAGGGGAAGGCTTGTTAGGAAATGTGTTTGAGAGGCAGTAGTGTGTTTTGGGGGAATGAGCCTGGGATTTGGCGCCAAAAGACTCTTGTTTGCATCCCAGACTGTGACACTGACCTCCATAGCTGTTTGACATAGGACAAGTGGACCAACTTCTGGAAGGCTCACTTCCTAAATCTATAAAATGGGAGTTGTTGTGAGGATTAGAGCAATGTGTGCAAAAACTCCCTGGCAAGTATAAGTGATCTGTAAATGAAGGCCAATGTCATCATTGCCTTCTGCCTGTCAGGAACATCAGTGATCCGAGGCTTTGTCAAGTTGGCGAATGGAACCTCTGTCTCTCTGGAATATCTAGACTAGATCTGAGATACCTGTGACCCTTATAAAATGAGGGCTCCTCCTCTTGGGTGAGCTTGAACATCGATCTGCTTATTGATTCTGTCTTTGTTGTTCTTTCTCAATCTCTTGACCTCAGCATTCATTAGGGCAGATCTTCGGAGGCAGAAAGCAAACAAAGAAACTCCTGAGAATGTGAGTATGTGGAAGCTTGCTGGGCTGAGAGCTGGGTCCCAGGCTTTGTTTGAGGATGTGGCAGCATGGGTGGGCCCAGGGGGCTCCCAGAGTGGACTGGTTCTCTGGAGGCTGGGAGACCAGCTCCACTCGCATAAACATGGCACCCAAGCATTTCCTTGGTGGGTGTTCAGCATGGCTTTTGTGCTGCTCTTTCCTGGACTCTTTCTGCTTCCTTCCCTTCTCCTGGCTGTGGTCCCCAGAGTACATCACTGTTGTCACAGTCTACTGAGCAGCACCCACTCCTTGGATCCTGAGACAAGTCCTGAGACCCTGGTTCCACTGCTCTCAGCTTGGGGTCAGTGGCTGGAAAGGTGGGAGCCTACCTTGACTACAGTGGTGCTGGCCACAAGGCAGTGGCTCTCCTGGGCATGTTACAGTCCCTTAGGCAGTACCATGGGGATGGAGGGATGGGGCCAGTGCATTTCTATTAAGTCTTTAAAAGTGCAAGTCAGGGAGTAGGAGCTGATGGTGGTAGAAGGGGGAGGACCAGGAGTATGATTTAGAACGGAAGAGGGTTTCCCTATCTGCTCTCATCAACTGGGAAGTATTTTTTTTTAAGATTTTATTTATTTATTAATGAGAGATAGATAGAGACAGAGACAGAGACAGAGAGAGAGAGAGAGAGAGAGAGAGAGAGGCAGAGACACAGAGGGAGAAGCAGGCTCCATGCAGGGGCCCGATGTGGGACTCGATGCCGGGACTCCAATCCTGGGACTCCCGAATCACACCCTGAGCCAAAGGCAAGACGTTCAACTGCTGAGCTTGAGCCACCCAGATGTGCCAGCTGGGAAGTATTTTAACCAACATATTAGGTATTAAATCTGAGCCAGGATGAAAGCAATTTCAAATCTGAGGAGGAAAAGTGGGATATTACTTAAAAAACAAACAAACAAACCACCCAAATCTGTTATAGAGGTAACACGGGTTCTTTGTAGGAAAACTAAAAAGTATATTTTTTACATTTTATACAGAAAAGTATACGAAATTTAAAAATCATCCTGTAACATCATCACCTGCAGATGAAACTGTTTTTTTTGCAATTACTATGTGTCTATATATAATACAATATGCACGCATATATATATATATCCATATATACTTACATATGGATAGGTAAATATTTTTAAAATGAAAATGGAAATCTTCTATCTCCTTTTTTTTACTTGTTGTGAACACCTTATCAGGTCATTATTCTTTTACAGCATACTTCTAATTATGGCAGGGCATTAAGGTTGTTTTCAATCATTATAAACAATATTGATTAATGTCCTAGAAGCTGAATCTTTGTGCATGTTCTCAAGCACAGTATTTCCTTGAGAAATGGATCAGCGGTCATGCATATTTTTAAGATCTTGATATGTATTGCTAAACTGTTGTCTAGAAAGGTATTATCAATCCTATCAATTTATATTGCTGTAGCAGTGGAGGAGTGCCAACCCTGAGGATTTATTGTTTTGGAGAACTTTGCCAATTTTCTAAGGCAAAACGGTATCTGAAAGAGTATATTTACTATCATAAGGACACATGTTGGGAGACAGATGATAAGCTTTAGTTTATTATTTGTCTTCTGATATCATACTCTGGAGTTGTCAGGCTGCCCCAGGTAGCATGTGGAGGGAGGAACCTGGCACAGGAAATTCAGCAGGGAGACAGGGAAAGCCTTGGAGCAGAAATGCTATCCTTTAGACTGGTGTGAGGACCATGGCATTAGCGCCATGGTGATGGGCTCTCACCTGGGCCATGTACAAGGAAACAATGGTTTGGAACATCTAGTGAACTTGAGAAAAAGGTACCCGTAATGGAACAGGAGTGGTTTCTTGTGAGGAGGTTTCAATTTGCAATGTGACAAATTGTGTCAAGGGGTATAAGATTTTGCTGTTTACTTTGTAATCTGTGTTTATGTTGGCAGATATAGGCAAACAGGAAGAAAGAAAAGGTCATCTATAATCCAGGCACCTGGAGATAACCTAGTAACATTGTAGCCCATAGTTCAGGGCTCTTTTCTATGGGTCTCCTGGAGCAGGTGGGGTTCCTAATCAGTTTGTTTACTTAACAGTAGTTTGACAACCTTTCCACAGTCATTCTACTACCTTGGATCTACATATATGTATGTCCATTTCCTCTTGTTTAATATTTAGGTTGTTCCAATATTTCACTATTCCTGCAGCCGTATCTTGGTGCACAGGGAAAAGACTTATTAATCAAGGTTGGAGTTGTTGGCTCAGTCATCTTCTGTATGGAGTGTTGGAAATAGCATGGAGTAGCAGCAGGAGACAAATCCGGGGATGGTGCTCCACAGTCTGTGTCCCCAGACCACTCACCGTGTGTCTTCGAACCTCACTTGCAGCTGGGGAGGCTTATTGTTGTGGGAAGGTCAGGATCCTGGTGGGCTGACACCAGGGAAGCCAGGGCTGTCATGGAGCATCCCTCCACTGGAGCCAGGGCTGTCACAGAGCATCCCTCCACACATCCCATGGCAGTCAGCATCGAGGCCTGGCCACTGGCACATAAATTCATTCTCAGAGCTAGGTGAAGACAGGGCCCCCAATAGATGTGGCCAGAGCTGATCTTTTGAATTAGTGATTGAAATCGTTCAAAATGATTTGTATCATTTTGGTAAAAAGAAACAGAATGTTTAGCTTGGCTTTAATGACTAATCTAGATGCTGAAAATCTTGTTTGGGGTTCCATTTTTCTTCCAGTTGGTGTTTCTTGGCCAGACAGTGGATGTACTTCTGCCCTCACTAATCTGTGTTTCTGGTTATGCTTTCAAGGTGATGGCTTTGGAGGGGGGCCGGTGTGTGTAGAGGGGGCATGTGCGTGCACATGTGTGTCAGCAAGAAGAGAGAGGCTGCCTGATTGACTTAAGCAGGCTGCTCGTGGACTGAATGAAGGCTACTCATGGCTGAGGCTGACCTGGTGCCAACACACTGACAAGAATGAGAATGGGCAGGTTGGGTTTCTACAGCTGTTGTACTGCCGTGGACTAGCCCTGAGACAGTTGGTGGGGGAGAAGCACCATTTGTCCAGTAGGCATGGGTCCGTAGATGTTCCTTTAGCTCTCAAGTGGTGATGGAGCAGTACAATGCCAAGGCCTTCCCGCTAACTAGATGAGTGCTTGAGGTAAGGAGCAAAGCACAGCATACACCTAGGGGCCCCCACAGGATCATTTCGAGGCCATATTTAATTCTAGACCCGCCTAAACAAGTGTGACTCAGAGGACCCTTCTAATCCTGGGCCATCTTTCCCTGAGAAAGTCAAAGCCGAACTGACCCAAAGTCTTCTCCTCTAGGCATAAAGTATATATACATATTTTTAGCCACTGTGTTCATATGCATCTTGCCTTTATAAAAATCCTCTTTGTGGCATCCATTCCACACACACTATAATAATATTCATCATCCTGGGGGCTGCCTCCAAAGGCAGGTAGTCAGAAATTCTGGGGAAGTTGTAGACCTGGCACTTTGGATAGCTACTTGATGGTCAGTCCAGGTAATTTTTAGGCTGTCATAATGAATGGGGAGGGAGAGTGGGCTCTGTTTCTGTTTCAGTCCCGAGAGGGAGCCTAAATAGTGGCACTTGGAGCGAGGTGGTTTGGGGTGGCCGTGGTGTCATATAGAGCTGGACTTTCTGGCTTTTCTCTGATGCTGTGATAGTGTGAATGTGTTTAAAGGGCACACTGGCAGAGGCTGGTTGCTGCTTTGCTACTTCCCTTCATTTGCTCTTGGGGCTGCTGAGTGGTCTGTGGCTCTTGATTTTCCCATTGATTATAGTCACGGACAGGCAGCTGTCCGAACCCGGGGTGGAGTACCTCACCTCTTCACCCAGAGGGCTGCCTGCTTGTTTTGCCTTGCAGAAACTCCAGGAAGAGGAAGAGGAGGAGGAAGAGAGTAATACCAGCAAAGCACCCACCACTGTGTCTGAGAATCTCTGAGAGCAAAAGGTGGTGGTGACTCAGGGACCATGGAAAGCACTCCCGGCCTCTTCCTTCAGCGCTCACTGCCCGCACACGTCTTCACTGGAGCAGCTTTGGGAGGGATCCGGCTGGAATATTTGTGGCTTGGACGGCAGTGCCTCTGCCTTCTGGAACCCACTCAAGAGCTTGCATGGTCTATTTTGGGAGGATGGCACCTTTCACCAAATGCACACTCGATACCCGCCCCCTCCCCCTTGTAGGTTGCGGGAGCTGGTGTGGGGAGAGGCTGCTGGAGAATGGTGGTACCATGTCTTCCCCCTTCACCTCGATCCTGCAAGGAGAGAGCCTGCAAAATTATCATGGAAAGAAAGCCTATTCAGGATATTAACTTTTTCTAGTATCTAAGACCCTTAGAAGCCCAGTTCTAAGGAGAGGCAGCTACTCTGGATGAGGGTGATTTGGGGGTCATCCATACTGGCTGCTTATGTTCTGTGGGTGGAAAAGCACCATCAGGAAACCCTGCATCAGAACCAACCCATCAGGACTCGGCCTCGCTTCTCCTGCCCTAAGGTTGGGGTCTGTTTCCAAACCCTTTCCTAAGAGCTGATCAAACCAAACATCAATAAACTTGACAGAGACTTTGATGTGGCCGTGAAGGAGAAATCCACTTGGGAGAGTGAACTACGTAGGTGTGTGAGGGCACTTGGGAAGGTCCGAATTTGGTAGCTTGATTTGGGGATGGGAAAGTTCTTTTCTGCAAAATCTCTGCCCAGGGACTTCTGTGCATGTCATAGTCACCTGATGCCTTCACGTGGATACTGCCCTGAGAAACTCTGCCATTGGCCTTAGTGCTTGCTTTCTTCAAAGGGAGGGAAATCCCTGCCAATGTCCTGTAACCTTTTTTTTTTTGTCCTGTAAACTTTACTAAAAACTAACCTTGTTTCATTCTACCCTGAGAAATTCACAGATGCTTCTGAGATAAGAGGAAAGGAGCAGAAGGAAAGGTGGCCCTTGAAATGGGAATTGAGTCTACTTGAATCATGTGCATCCTGCCTCCGGAGGGGATAGTATTTGCATCTCCTCATCCCCCCTCTCCCCATCCCCTTCCAGCAATGATCTTTTAACAGATATTGTAAACTTAAAGGGATTCCCTTTAAACAACTCAGGGTGACCTCCTGTCTTGTCTGGCCTGCTGTCTGGTTCTACTCACGTGCTGGGGTAGTGTTCCCTGAAAATAAGACATTTTAGTAATTTATCCTGTGGATTGAGCAGCTGTGATCATGACCATGGTGCTGTTTGGCTGTGACCACTGCCCAGGCTTGGCATTTGGCAGCAGAGCCAGGGTGCTTGGACCACTGCCTGAGGGGAGGCGTGTGTGTGTGTGTGTGTGTGTGTGTGTGTGCGCGCATGCACACGTGCGCACAGACATTTAATATGTTCTGTATGTAATAGAAGTTCACACTTGGTGGAGGGATTGAGTGGGGAGTAGAAGAGAGGTGGAGACAAAGCATGCCTTACTTTCTGGTAAGGAGAAAGGTGTTTACTCTTCAGCTCCTTAAAACTTTTTAACAAAATGTTTACCAGATTATTCATTCCTTTATAAACATAATTTGTATTTTCTATTTGTAATACCAGATGTTTTAAGACAATAAAAGATTCTCCAAGTGGTCTTGTCATTAGGTGGGGGCAGAGTTGTCTCTTGGGGCAGTCCTGAGATTCTCACTCATTTCTGGGGCCTGGGACGACGGTGCAGGAGGGGACTGGGGCCAGTGGAGCAGCTTCTGTGGCCTGCTGCAGAGGCGGGTCCTCTGTTTACACAGATGTTACCATCCCAATAGGCTACACTTTAAAGACAAGGCTGTAAAAGTGAACATTGGCCTATGTGGTGCTTTGCAACTCCCCACCCAGCATGTGACCCTGTCTGCCTTTTGTGCTATGTACACACGCACACAGTCCACCCAGGGTGACCGCTCATAAGAGAGCCCGCTGTTGTTTCTGGCTCAGCCTCAAAGTGTGGCTATGACTTTGTTCTATGACTGCACCGTCCTGCCTGGCCAGAGTCCATGCTTTCGGCATTGGCCATTCTGTTACCATTTCTTCTGAGCTGTCCTACCCACTGCCACTTCTCCCTTCCCAGTTGTGGTTTACCTGATGTTGCTTGGACATGCAGCTGCTACCAGATTTCTATCCTAGAAAATGCACTGTGCCTGTGGTATTCTGGCACCATTATCTGTCAGTAGTTCTTAGCTGGAGAGAGACCTTACAGATTCTACTTTAAATCATCTTGAAAGGAAGCCAGCCTGGCTATTAAAGAAACAGAATACTCATAACATCTTCTACTCTAAGTCATCTCTTTAGATCCTTTGGGTCTTAGCTTTGCTTTTCTGGAATTCCATTTCTATAACATGTGCTTAGAGGATCCAAATCCAAATCATGTGTGCTTTTATTCACTTTCTTAGGTGGGCTCCATGTGGCTCGATACTCACATGCTAAACTCTGTAGTTTTTCTTACTACTGCTTTTCTTACTACCTCCTGACAAGAGTTGGTGAGCGAGGGAGAATCAGTACCACTGAGCTATTTTTCTAGATGTAGTGTTGTGCGGGTGTCTGGCAGGTATTGCGGCAACCACTTTTGGCACCGTAAAGGAATCCTGCCTGAGGATGAAGCCAACATGGGAAGGCAGAGCTGGGTCCTGATCCAATCATTCCTGGAGCCTCTAATCCCCCTAGTTTTTCAGTTTTGTGAGCCACTGTTATCTTTATTGTTAAAGCTAGTTTAAGATGATTTTGTTTCTTTTACCTAAAGAACCTTAACTCATAGAGAATTTCCAAATGCACTTCAGTATCCCCAACTTCAAGCTTCGGGTCGTGCCCTTGCAGGTCCCCTGCCTCCTTTCCTGACCTCTTACCTCTCACTTCCTAACTTCACTGTGTGAAGCATAGTCCTTGAACAAGTTGGCTCCTGCCTTCTAGATGCTGCTCCCTCAACCCTAAATGACTGCCTCACATATGAAGACACCTGAGGCCTGGGCATTCAAGGCTCAGCTCACTCCTACCTCCTCAGGGAGGCCTTTGCTGATAATCTAAATAAAAATCATCCACCCCCTACCTTCTTGATCATAATACCCTGTTTTCCGGAGTTCTTATTGTCTGAAGTTGTTCTTTCACGGGCTGCTCTGCTGTTTCCTTGATTACAGTGTTAGGGCCACAGGAACAAGGACATTGCCTGGGTTGTCATTTCTCTTTCCCAAGTGTCTGGCAGGGAGTTAAATGTTCAATAAATACTTGGTGGAAATAATGAATGGGTTCCTGGGTCTACACACTGTGTGTGGGCCCAGCCAGTAAGGAGCCCCTCAGAGTTGTCTTTGGTGGGCAACTATCTGCTCCAGTCCTTTATCTTGGGGATTCATTCTCCTTTCCATGGTCAGGCAGCTGTTTCTTCTGTGCTGTTTTCTGCCTTTGCTTTGTCAAGAATTTCTTTCTTCCTTAGGAAGAAAACAAGAAAAAGCTCCTGACTGTTCAGTTGTGAACTCAGAATCTTGAAGGTGGGGAAGGAGAGACAGGTTGGACTTCAGGAGAAATGAACAAGTGACAAGAAGGGCCAGAGGCAGTCAGCCATTCCTGGGTCCTTGAGCTGTCCTACTCATTACGGTATACTTGATCAGCAAAAAGCTGTGATTATCCTATGCTACGGCTCAGAGAAGGGAAGGAGTGCTCTTGGCTTGGGGGAGGTCAAAGTACAAGGACTGATCCGAGCAGAGGGTTTTTCTATTTATTACAAAATTTGTTACACAAATACAGCTGACCAGAAGGTCTAAAAACAGCCCAGACTCTTCCAACCCTGATCCACTTGTAGACACAAGCATATGAGCCATGCTTACTCACAGGGGAGCCCTTCTTAGAATTGCCTGTTCCTCAGATGGTTCAGAGTCTTGGGTCCAGTAGCAGAGAGGAGCCCAACCTGGAAGGGTGACCTCCTGAAGCAGCCCTTGGTGGCAGCTGCCCTGGGTGATGCAGCAGCTGTAAGTTTCATAGTTCACATGTTCCCACCATATAAGTCAGATGAAGGGATGAAAAGAAAAGGGAAGAAGCTGAGGGCTGGGAAAGGGAGCCTGGAAGAGGCTGTCAGTGGGGGAAGGGCACACACTGGGTTTCTGGGTGAAGGTATAGGGTATTCACTTTAAAATGATTCTTTCAATTGTACGTATATGTTATATACTTTTCTGTATGAAGGTTGTATCTTACAGATTTTTAAATGTAAGAAAAACCCCAAACCTAAAAGGCTAGCAGTGGGTAAGGGGGCTCAGGATGGTACAGAAAAGAAGAAATGAAAGAGGAGGGAAGATGAAGGAAGGGGACAGTAACGGTAGAAGACGAAATCTCGGAGGTGGTGACGCTGGCCTCAGTTTCTCTTCTTCTGTCCGGAGGCTGGCTCTACTTCTAGGTACCAGAGCCCAACTAGCATACCCAGGATTGAGAAACCTTAAATAAGAGAAAAGATTGGAAGCTGACAGAGGCACAGAGCTTTCTCACACTCTTGTATGTCTGCTCTCCTGCCCCGGCCCTAGGGTGCAGTTCCCATGGGAGGTCTGGGGGAGTTGGATGCTTACTTGCCACCATCAGGGGTGCCAGGACGCCAATCGTGGGAGCTGCAGTCCCAAAGACAAACAGCTCGGAGAGGAAGTGCCCCAGGGCGAGGAGGAAGGTCCAGAGTGTGATGTGGTACAGCCTACAGGGGAGCAGACACGAATGGGAACGAAGTCCCGCTCATTCAGTGCAGAGGAAAAGCAGTGGTCAGATTCCACACACACATGAATACCAACCCACCATGTGGCTATGGCTAAAGGAAAAGGAGACTTGGGCCTGAGAAAGACCCATCTGCTCGAACACATCGATTTACCCTTTACTTAGGGCAAAATCGAAGGTTTCAGCTGCTCGACTGAGAGGAGAACAGTCCAGGCATCCAAAGTGGATCTCCAAGTCACAGCAAGGTAGGTGGTGAAGCCAGCCCCAGCAAAGCAGAGTCTGGGTTATGGCCATCCTAGCAGTAGAGGCCGTTTCTGGATCAATCTACTTACTCCAAGTGGCTTGGCTCTGTAGTCCAAGCCCACCTGGTAGCTGTTCAGCCAGTGGCTGATCAGTGCTCATATGATGGATGCCTAAGAATGAAGGGCCTGAATGCGGCATGAGCAGCGAGGACCTCTCTGGGGTTTTTAGATGCTCTTGCCATGGGGGCTGGTTACTTTGTGTTTTAGCCTAGGACAATGATCAGTTGGAGAACACAGTGGTAACCTCACGGACCAAGAATGTATTCCTTACTTCTGATTAAGAGGTGGAGAAGAGATAGGTTATAGGATGACTGACCAGTGGATTGGAGATCTTTTTTTCTAACTATGAAATTTTTAGAATTAGGAAATATTTCAAACGTACAAAAATTGTTGATCATAGAATACTATAATTAACCCGTATGCAACCAACACCCTGTTCCATCATGTTTCGACATTTTTGCTTCAGATTCTTTTTTCTAAGAAATAAAGTATTACAGATAGCAGTTAAAGCGTTCTATGTATCCTTATTCCCCCTAGATCCCATTCCCCTGCCTCCCTAGAAGGAACTGATATGTTAAATTTGATTTTTATCATTCCTGTGCATTTTTTATACATTTATGTTAATATGAATGTATGGGTGTTTTTGAATTTCTGGATTAGGAGGAAATAGAGTGTACATCAAAAGAATATGGGCCAAAGTCCATACCAAAGTCCCAGGGTGAAAAAGGCAACAAACAGAAGCCAGCATTTGTGGCTATCCTGCGTTGGGAGAAGGGGAAATGAATGGGTGATAAGAAGAGAAGTCTTATTCCAAAAGCACAGCAAATGAAAGATACGCCTATCATCAATTTATCATAGTAAAAGTCTTTCAAAGGATTATTTAATTCTCACTCCCTCCCAGGCACCCAGAGGGGTAGGGTAGAACAGATAAACTAGTTCATTTTATACATAAAGATACCAAGATGCAGAGAAGGTGAACAGCTGATCCTTGAACAGCATGGGTCCACTTATAGATGGATTTTAAAAGATAAATACAGTACAGTACTGTAAATGTATTTTCTCTTCCTTATGATTTTTTTTCCCTTATGATTTTCTTAATAATGTTTTCTTTCCTATAGCTCACTTTATTGTAAGAATACATTATATAACACATACAACATACAAAATATGTCTTGATTGACATTCTTATTGGTAAGGCTTCTGGTCAGCAGTAGGTCATTAGTAGTTAAGTTCTGGGGGAGTCAAAAGTTATATGCGGATTTTCAACTGTGGGGAGCCAGTGCTCCTGACTCCCATGTTGTTCAAGGGTCAACCGTATAATGAACTTGCAGCTACAAAAATAGTTACTATCAGGACTGAGACAAGAGCCCATTTTCTTGTTTTCGTTCTTGGGCCTTAGGCTGCTTCACTAAACCATACTGCTTCCAAAAATACATTTCAATCTAGCACAAGTCAAACCAGAGTTTCAAATTCAAAGAATAATTTAAGAAGTTGGAGAGATCACAGGGTTAATAGCCCTGCTTCAAATCCCACTTAAGTCTGTCTTCCTTAGTTCAAATTAATTGGGCCTCTAACATGTAGACCTGCAAACTCAGGAATGAAAATCATTACCTCCAAGGGTGGCTAGGAGACTTAATCAAGGTCATGTAGATGAAAGCTCCTGGCATAATCAGAAGTGCTCAGTAAATATCATTACCTCTTTTCCCAAATGCTGAAAGTTTAGATACGACAGAAAAATATTTTAGTGTGAAGTTGACATTTTAGTGGCCTTAGCCACTGACTTGAGCAAACTTTCCGCTTTGACTGTGGTGAGGACAGTTGGAAAGAGTTCGAGCCCCCTCCAGTGGCCAGCACCAGTTATAGCATGAAGACAAGAGGCTCTGCAAATGTTCCACACTAGTCTGAGTACCCTAGAAAAGCAGAATATAGAAATCCTGGGTTCCCTTTCACTCTCACCTACTGACTCTGCATAAGCTTATGGTGGTTTACTTGTGGGTTCCTTTTTTCATGGATTGTGATTTCTGTTCATTCCTACTTCTTAAGGAGGAATGTGAGAATAAGGTATATGTGGGTGGCTGCTCTAAAAAGAGCACACTATTCTATTTCTTTAGTAGAAGAAAGGCTGATTCTTTAGTAAAGAAGTAGAGGGGTATGATGCAGGCTGCTGGATCATGACACTGCCAGTTGCTATTCACTTCTAAAGAATTTTCAAACTTTAAACCTGTTAGGCCTATTACTTATTCTTATTCTTTTTATTATAGGCCTCGAAAGAATAGGACCTACTAACCTTTTATTATCCATATTCTATAGGCTAATGCATGAATATGAACAAGCCTCCCGGGGGAGGACCACACTGGGTATGCCTAGCACCTGATTTCCAACAAAAGGATGCTAAGTCTTTTCCTTCCCTTACATACGTCTTGTTGTGGATGTCGATGGCGCAGAGGCAGCGAATCACTGATGACAGCAGTGTCCAGATCCCAAAAGTCCGAGCTTGGAGGCCATTCACTATACAGCAGAGAAAAGAGTGTTGAGAGGAGAGAATTAGGATTCCCTCCAAACTCCTTTACTTCACTGGTGGTTCATGAGAGGCAGACTGCTCAGGCTGAAAACTCTGGCTGGGCAGAGGGGAGGCTCTGGTACTATATATGGGAACTAGTAGGAATGGAAGGAATTCAAGAATGAGAACTGTTCAGCTCCTCTTCAAATGTCTAGAGTTGGGTGGGGGCAGTTTCAAGAGTAGAAACCCAGAGTCTACTTAGGTAATAACTCCTGAATGTAGCAGTTTATACCTCTGTCCTGGAAGCCACTCTGGTGTGGGTGAAGTTCAGCAAGTCTGGATTGGGACAGGTTTGGGGGAATGTTGCATACAGTGGTGCATTAATGTAAGATGCCTAGGTCAGTCAACTTTCAAGGCTGATGCAGGAGAGAACTTGAAAATCCTGAGACCTATCTAAATGCTCAATCTGGTGTGGAAGAGACTGAACTCTTCTTCAGAATCCAGATCTATGTTATTTGAACAAAGCTTAAACTGGGCAGGCTTCCTGTGCATTTGGTACTGGAACAAAGCATTGCTTCTTTGGTGTTTGCTGAGGCCACCTTGCTCTTGGTGACTTTGTTCTGGTACTCTGTTCTTAGTAAGTATCTTGTCCTGTGAGTACTGATCACAGTCTACCTTAACAGTGGTCCTAGACCCTGGGTGTTTATTAGAGGCAACTAAAGACGTTTTATGAAATTACCAAGACCTGGGTACCAGACCAATTAAATCATACTCGCTGGAGGTAGGCCCTGGAAATACGCATTTTCTAAAAATACTCTCTCCCTGGGTGATTGTATTGTACAATCTAAGGCATCCTGTGGCCAGGAAAGGCAAAACTGTGAAAGCAAAGATACTTCCTTTACTGGTCTATTGAGCAAGAGAAATTTCAAGGGTAAGACTGATGACTGAAAGGCTTATGAATGTTTACTTGGGCTTTAAAGATTTTCCATCCTTTGGAAAACCAGAGAGTGATACCAATTTCACAACCCTGAAGATCTTTAGATGGTAGTAAGGTGAGAAAAAATTTCATATGCAAGCAAATATCTAGTGGTTGGCCCCAGAAGGCTACATTCTTTATAATGTCAAACCAGTTTGACAGCTCTTCTGATGAAAAGGCTGGGGAAATAGCTGTAGTTAGTGACACACAAAAGTGGAATATTTCATCATCTGTAGCCAGTTTAGGCATCAGGTGAAATTCTAGAGGACTAGGTCAGATAACCTCTAAAATCCTGTGAATCTACACAGCAGAGGGCAGTGTTTGAGGGGGGGAAAAGTGGAACTTTTCCAGATACTTTACTCCTATTGAGCTTGGCTCAAAATGAGCCTTAGCCTACTTAGATTCATTTTGTATGGAGATGTTACAGAAAAATGAGCTAGGTCAGAGCCCGAATCTGGGTTAGCTATAAATGTGACACAGAATTGTCAGCTGCGTGAAATGGTGCTGCAGCTCAAACACCACTACCCCACACATCAGTGCAAGGAAGCACAAGCTGAAATGTGAAAATACTCTCAGCTGGGAGGCTCAGGATACTGGGTAAGGCCAGCAGAGGCCTTCTCAGTTTCACTTTGGGAGACCAGTTCAGAGGAATTTTGGACATCTTCTCAGGGACTCTTCAGTGTTTGGGAAGAGCTTGGATTGGTAACTCCCTATCTGCAACATAGAATAAACCATGGCACAGCCTTGCTTCTGAAGAGGGCTGAGATCATATGAAAAGCTTTTTTATCGCTTTATAGTGGGGCATCCCAGAGTCACCAAATAACTCTATCTTCTCACTTGTCCTTGTAATACATTTGTATTGTCTGTGAAATGTAAAGGACAGTATAACATGGATGAAAAGGTATTGAGACAAGCTCGGGGGAAAAAGGGCCAAGTGCTATCCAGACAGTCTATTATTCCAGTGGCTTCCCGAGTTAGCCAGCAGCAGAATCACCTGGGAGGTTACAAAAAAATAGACTTGGGGCCCCACTTGGTGTAGACATTTCAGGAAATAAGTTTGGAGGAGAAAATAGGTACCTGTGGTGTTTGCTTTTAAATTTCTTAGGTAGTTCTCAAGTATAGCCTGGTCTGGGAACCACAGTTAGGCCACTCCCATACAGGATGCAGTTCTCTGACTTCTTACCAAGATCCGGCTTGCCAGTGTAGAGCTTTTCATAGAGGAAGGTGTGGTCTCGGAAGCTCTGCAGCGTGTTCCCTATGGCTATGATGGACACCATAACCAGCCAGCTTCGTAACACATTCAAGAAACGGCTCATGACTTCCCTCCAACCCGAGAAAGCTTTTTGCCTTGGGAACAAAGGCAAAAAACAGGAGACAGCAGTTAGTCTACTTCAAGCATAAGCTATTTGATTTGGGTAGTTAACTTGCATCCCACTCATAAGTTATCTGGGCAATCACTTTGCGAATTCCTTTCCAAGTCTCTAAAGCCCATCCACCCTCAGTTATCTTAACATACTATTCTTACTTCACAGGGTGAGTTCACTGCCTTTGGATATTTGCCCTATATCGAAGGGTGCTAACCTGTACCTAGAATAAAAAAGGCTAAATAACGCAATGGCTGGAAATGGTAAAGCCAGACAAAAATAATGGAGAAAAAAAGGAAACAAACGAAAAGGAGGTGTACAAATATTACTATAAAGTAATAAAATGGATTTGTGTGACACTAAGAGAAACTGGTCTTGATATTTACTCATACTAGTAGCAGTGAATCAACAGTATACTTTGCAGTAGGTGGCACAGTACTTATTTTTGTCTAAGCAACTTCTCCACAATGGTAGCCTAAATCAGAACTGTTTTCTCTTGGCTGGAAATCAGTCCTTTAATATCTAAACCCCTAGCCTAGTTTTTTATGTCATTCTTATAATGCAAGTGGCGCAAGGTAATGATAAATCTACTAACATATCCGTCTAGCTATTGATGACAGACCCTTCTAAGCACAGAAAAGCCTTATACATTTGAGTGGGATCTATGGAATGATGGCAATATTTACACTCTCAGGTGTTCTCTACTCTGGTTCTCAGGTCACTCATGCTCCATAAGCTAGAACAAAATAAAAGTTAAACTTTTGTGACTTGAAAACAAGCATGAAAATTGAATGGAGAAGGAAACAATAATGTTGGTGTTGGGTTGCAAGAGAGATTATGACAGGGCAGCCCCAGTGGCCCAGCGGTTTGGCGCCGCCTTCAGCCCGGGATGTGATCTTGGAGACCCGGGATCGAGTCCCGTCAGGCTCCCTGCATGGAGCCTGCTTCTCCCTCTGCCTGTGTCTCTGCCTCTCTCTCTCTATGTCTCTCATTAATAAATGAATAAAATCTTAAAAAAAAAAAGAGAGAGATTATGACAGCTAACAGTTACCATGCACTTGTATATGCCATGTATATATTATCTCATTTAATCCCTAAACAAGGTGGGTAGACACTATTACTATTTCCATTTGACAGATCAGAGTTGGCACGGAGAGATTAAGTGATTTTTTTTTAAATTTTTATTTATTTATGATAGTCACACACAGAGAGAGAGAGAGGCAGAGACACAGGCAGAGGGAGAAGCAGGCTCCACGCACCAGGAGCCCGACGCGGGACTCGATCCCAGGTCTCCAGGATCGCGCCCTGGGCCAAAGGCAGGCGCCAAACCGCTGCGCCACCCAGGGATCCCCCGAGATTAAGTGATTTGCTTGAAGTTACACAGCTTATGCGTGGCAAAGCTGAGATTCAAATTATGCTGTTGGATTCTATATTGCAATACTGCCTCACTGAGAATATTTTGATGAAGTTTCTATTCTCAAAGACTATACTATATACGCTTCTGCCTTGAAGTTGTATACAAAATCCAATTACGTTATGTACTTTTTGTTTAAAAAAAAAAGCTTACACGAATCCTTGAGGAGCAATGATTTCAATCAACTTGATTTAAATAAAACTCGTGGATAAAGAATTTGAGAACAGAACTACTACTTTTCATTTTCATTGTAGGGTTTTTTTTTTTTTTTTTTGGTTGTTTTTTGCTTTCCCCACAGTTCATCTGTACTGTTCAACTGCCCCACAGTTGTAAGGTTAACTTCTTGGGCCTGAAGTGGTGATAAGTCATCAGGCTTCCTTTGTCACTCTGGCACAAGTTTCAGTATGATCAGCTGAAATCGATATTAAAGTCAGCCATGGCATGAGACAGTGTGAAGCACTAAAAAGAAAACAAAATAGAGAAACAAAAAAAGGAGCTCTAGAGGAGGAAGCAGGAATCCCTCAGGGAGTGGTAGATGACAACAATGGATCTTGTTGAAGTCCAGAGAGAACAGAGCTTTATTGGAGATCAGAAGTGGTCATGGCATGGGCCAAGACACACCCCCCCCCCCATCCTTCTTATTTTCTCACCATTTCTCAATAGGAGACTCAGGCTTTCTCCTCCCAGGGTCAGAAACGCCTTATGGATAGCCCCCTTCTTTGAGAGAACTTATGCCCATTTTACGGAAGCACGTAGAAATCCTAACAGATGGCTGATGAGGGCAGAGCCTGAGCACTCTTCCGATCTGCTCTACCAGAATCCTCACCCCCATTTGCCCCAAAGCTTTAGAGCCTCTTAGAGTACCCAACATCTGTTCTCCAATTTTGTCCTGGCCCGTCCCAGGAAAGGTGTGGTGTTGAAACTAGTCAGGAGGGAGGTTCCTACCCTTCCAACTATCATTTTGTAGCTGTGAGACCCTGCGTGAGAAATCTGCAAAATGGAGCTTAAAAACAAAAAACAAAAAACCCATCTCAAGGGTTATTCCATGAGAAAGTGAAGGTTCCTTGCCCTGGGCTCAGAGGAGCCGCTCGTCCACTCATCCGCTCATTGGTTCGTCCAGCCTACCAAGCCCTTCTTCATCTTCACAGTCCCAGCTCCCCCGTCTCAAGGTCTCTCCAACCCTTGGTCTCGCCTCCATTTTTCCAGGCTCCCTGGATCCTTTCCGTCAGAGGCCACACAAACACGTCCCTCCCTCTTCTCCTCCACGCTGTCCGTACCTGGTGACGGGATCCCCAGCACAGCAGCGGGCAGCACCAGCGGGAGCCCCGGCAGCAGCGGCCAAGCTCCAAGAGGTCCGACGAGCGAGGAGCCCACCTGAGCCATTTGTCCTCGCCCCCGCCCACAGCCCGGCTCCAGGATTGGGTCGTTGCCGTCAGTCCTCGCCCGGATTGGCGGCTCCGGGTGTGCTCGAGCAGGAGATGGGGCGTGAACCCTTTTACTGCCAATCAGTGGTTGCCGATGCCCAAGCTTCGCCCTGGGTACCGCCGCTCGCGCCGCTGAGCCGTCCGGTTGACCGTGGCGCAAGAACCCCGGCGCTGGAGGCTAGTGGAGGGAGAAAGAGCGGGAAAAAGGAAAAAAAAAAAAAAAAAAAAAAAGGAAGTCGAGACTTTGGCTGAGAGCAAAGCTCTGCGCCCGCCGCGCGGCGCGGCGCGGCGCGGCGGTGACGACATTCCTTCGCGCCCAAAGCCGAGTGACGACATTCCTTCGCGCCCAAAGCCGAGCGTTTTTAAGCGCGGGGTGGCGGGCGCCTGCGCAGTGGCTCCGAGCGGGCGGTTGCTGGTTGGTTGTTGTAGTAACGGGGGAAGCAGCGGTCGGCGGCGGCCGGGAGCCCGGCTGGGGAAGGAGGAGGGAGGTAGGCGCCGAGCGCGGTCCCCGCCGGCCGGCCGGCCCCGAGCCATGGGAAGATGAGCCAGGTAAACGCCTGCGCTGGCGCGCTCCGCTCCGCGAGGGAGGGGAGCTCCCGAGTCTGGGCGGGCGCCGGCCGCTGCACTTCCCTCTCGGGGTCCGCGAGCAGCTGTTGGTTTCCGGGCGCGCTGGGCTGAATCGCCGCGGCGGAGTCCCCGCTGCCCTTCCCGCGGGGAGCATCTGAGGACCTGCGGGGGGTGGGACCGCGGGGCTGATCCCTTTAGGGCGGGGACGCTCCTCGGGCGAGTGTCCTTAATCTTCTTCCGATCGCCGTCTTCTCCGCTCGGCTGGCAGCCTGGAACGGGTTTGGCATCCCTTCCTCCCTTGGAGGTTTCGTGTGCTTTAATCTAAAGGACTTCCCGACACTTTGGGAAAGATCGAGAAATCCCGGTGGGAATCCTCGGAAGGACGTCTTCTTTGAAGTTGTTAGATATTGCCCGTTCCGCTGAGGATCTGTAGGGATCGTTACCGGGATTGCCAGGTTTTTGTTTTTTGTTTTTTTTTTTTTTTGGTCTTGTTGACGATCTTTATCATATTTTGAATGTATAGAAAAATGAGATCTGCAAAGATAGACATCACATGGTTATGTCGGAGTAATAGGGTTATGGGCATCGAAACGTTTTCATTTTCTTTACCTGTAATTTCAATCCCATCCTTAAACACAACGAACATGTATTTTTTACGGATGCGAAAAAAATATTTTAACTTAGAAATATCCTAATTTTTAAGGTCTATTTGGGAGTCAAATCATAGTTTGTGATTTTCAGTAATGGAGAATGATTTTTGAGAGTGTTTGGAAGGACAGTTTTTGTTTTGTTTTCAGCCATTTATGACCTTGATTCAGGAGAATATACTAATCTTATAGTTTAGTAGTTAAATTTGTTTTAGTGAAGTATGAGGGCATTTCACCTGTATGCTTGTCCTAGAGTCTAAAGAAATATTTTCAAGCATTGTATATCTTGAGTTTTTATTTTTAAAATAAAAAAAAAAAAAAGCAAGTTTTTCCAGCAAGGGGTCTGTCTGTTTTTGGGCAGTCATCCACCTACCTCAGACTTTCCTAAAAAGCTAATTTTTGTTAGTTTTAGTATATATGAGAAAATTGAAAAGCTCAAACTGAGTAACAGCTCTTTAAATACATGAAGGACAGACAGTATGTTTGAAAAAAGCCTTGATTTTTGTGGCATATGAGAGGCACTGTGATAGAAGGTAAGCTTCTAGATGTTGCACACCATTTAGGTAAATACTCATATTTGTTGCGGGGAAGATCAATAGCAATAATCACCAAGTAGAAAATGGCATTATGTTTCACATCATTTGGCTTTCTTGCAGGAATCCGTGCCACCTAAATTGTTTGACCCAGTGAATCTTCAAGGAAAGGTCCCTGAGGCCCCCATCTGCTGACTGCATGACAAACCCTAAAGGAAATGCCAGTCGTGATGGCCCGGGACCTGGAGGAAACAGCATCATCCTCAGAGGATGAGGAGGTGGTAAGCCAAGAGTAAGTAAGAGCAAGACTGCCTTGACCCTTTGCCTTTAGGGTGGAAAATAACTCTCTTTTACTTAAACCTTCTTTTACCTCATTCTTCCTTGGCATAGTCTGACTCTGGTTTTATTTTCTAGCCACGAACTAAACCAAAATATTATGAGTTGATCACCATTGGCTATCTGAAATGAGATAAGGTTCTGTTTCTGGGTTCATGAGTGAATCTTCGCTCTAGATATTGCTATTTGTGAACTCTTGACTGGAGCTCCTAACATTGGAGATTTTTAAATTTATAGATATTAAAGCAAAGGAGGTCTCCAACATCTATGAGATGTTTTATTTTCTCAAAAGCCTTACAATGATAGAAAATAGTATGTACCAGAATAACTGTGGGACAGTACGTTAGAATTCTATGACCTGTGCTGTGTGCCATTGGACCACATTGCTTTCCTGAGATCTTCTAGTTTTTTGATTGCTGGATTCTCATAATAATAAAAATGAATGATGGTAATAAGTGCAGCTTATCATTTAGCATAGATGACAGTAAGGGCTTTAACTGATGTGTCTCATTTAATCTGAGGATGTTATTATTCCCACTTTAGTAAGCTCAGCTTCACACAGATCAAAGAACTTTTTCAGGGGTTCAGAGAGTGTGAGTGATGGATTGAAATTCAGACCTGGTTTTCCTGGATTTTGAGGCACCTGCTATTTTGCCTCTTTGAACATTATTACATGACACAGAACAAAGAGAGAGTCTGACTTAAAATTAAGATTAGTTTTTAAGCTTCTCTGTGAATCCCCTTAGGTACACATGTGTGCTATGTAACCTGAAAAGTGGGGATAATACCTCTCAGGCTGTTTTGTAGGGGTATGGTTAGGATCAAATAGAATGATATGTATGAAGTTGCTTTATAAATGATGAAGTGCCATACAAATGTTAAGACAGTATTGTTACTAGCTTTAATATTGAATTTAAAGTGGATTTCTTATTATAAAGTAGAAGGTTACATTATTTAATGTAACTAGAAAAAATTATTGAAGCATTCATTTAGCTTTGGGGAAAGGCTTCCATCACTGTTAGGTCATAGAAAATAATAGAGCTTTGACATTATATTTGGGTCAGTCTTATTCAGGATAATTAAATGGATAATTCCGTCTGGTCACTTTATCCTCTTGTGACTTTTTGCTTTCTGTGTGCTGCCTCTTCCCTATTTCACGAAATTTTTGATTTTTGCGAGCATCAGTCTAATTTCAGGATCATTCTTTTACTTCATGAATATTTTTTATTAGTGCTCTTCGGAGTTGGGCTTGATCTCACCATCCTGAGATCACGACTTTAGTGGAAACCAAGAGTCAGATGCTCAACCAACTATACCACCCAGGCACCCCGACCCTGTGGGGGTAGTCTTTGATTAGCACTTAAAAGTGGGGAATATTGGGAAGAATCATAGTGTCTGGACCACCACTGTGATGGGTACCATCTGGCAGCTGATTGTTTGGGAGGAGAGCTGCCAAATCGTTGTCCAGCCTCATCACACCAGATGAGGAATACTGTGACCATAGGTAGTCTAGTGGCATTTAATAACTGCCTAACTTAGAAGTATTGATAAATGTAAATGATATTTTGAGATATGTGCAACAACTGAAATATGATATAAAAAATCTATAATGCAGACAGACTCAAAAGATACAGATAATGCTTTGTTGCCTATATTCATAATTGAGAAATGGCTAAATTTCTAGTAGAAGTTAGTGAACATACAGGTGTAATTCTAGTCCAGATTCATAGATTTTTTTTGCTCTTCTTCCTTTCAGACTCCTACTGTTGACTTTTGATTGTGAATGTTCCATCAACTCATGTCCTGTCTACCAGACACTTATTATATACATTAGGAATCTTAAGTCAGTCTTGTTTACACTTGAAGTAATATGCTTACATTTTTAAAGTTTTGGAAGTTATAAGGCCTTAAATCATCTAAAGATGTATATCTATGGACATCTGCTAGATCTGCTCAGATCCCAAGGCTGTATTAAAGTGTTAATGCCTGGCAGTCCTGGACTTTAGGACTAGAAACTATCCAGGCAATCCTTGTTTTGCATGGCATTATTTCAATACTAAATTTAAAGGGACTCTTTTTCTAGGGGATCTGAAATATAAATTTATATATAGATGTGGAAAGACTTGATATAAGAAGCCTTGTATCAAGTCGTTCCAGGCCTTAATTTCAATTTCCTATCATAAAAGCCAGCTTTATAGCAGCTCATGAATGTATAATTGGGGGAAAAAAAGATCAACAACAAATGATTATACAGTGAGTACTACAGGAGTTCAGAGACAAGACATCACTGTGGGCTGTTGAGGCTGGGGGAAGCCTCCATGGGGATGGCAAGATGTCCTCTGCCTAAGAGTGGGATCAAGTGCACGGAAGTGGGGAAGGCATTTCCAGCAGGGGCATTGGTATGAATTAGGCCTCGAAGCTTTGAGTATGTAGGCTAGATCCCAGGAGTGAATAATATATGTGCTGCATGAAATTGCTTCTTCTTTTTCTTTTTTTTTTTTTAAGAGTTTATTTATTCATGAGACACACAGAGAGAGGTAGAAACATAGGCAGAGGGAGAGGCAGGCTCCCTCTAGGGAGCCTGATGCAGGACTCTGTCTCAGGACCCCAGAATCATGACCTGAGCTGAATTGCTTCTTAAGAACCACAATGTTGTTAGACTTTCAATGAAGTGAACCTTGAACTGTTCTACTTCGGTAATTAAGCATCCAAGTCCTATGTTTTTTCATGCCTATAAGAGCATGTTTTCTTAGTATATACCAGTTTCTGGTATGAATGAAAATTTAAAGTTCCAGTTTTCAGTTTTCCTCACTATTTTGAATCTTTTGCCTTTAGCACCACCTGGTGGGAGCATGCTTTTAATGACAATATACCATATACTTTAAGCGTATTTTAGTTGGCCTCACTGAATTCATAATGTGTCTACCACCTCTTTTATCTTTCATAGGTTGTAAGTAGAAGGATTTCTCTGACAGGGATTTGGCTTTCCACAAATAGCATAGCTAGGGCCTTGGCTCTTCTCAGCCGTGTATCTGTCTATTGTGTTCCTCACCCTCGTCAGGCATTTTAACTTGTAGCAGTAATCCATTGTTTGTAAGTAGGAAGGCACCATGGTCCAGTTTATAGCTAGTGCTAGATTGACAAGGAACTTTGGCTAATTTCCAGAGTTTCTGTCCAAGACTTTGCAGTTTAGGCTGCCTATTTTTTCCTCTGTCCTCTAACTTAGAAATATAGTGGAAAAATTACAGTTGGAAGAGATCCTAGGAATCATCTGGCCTCATGCCTGCATTTTACAGGTGTTTAAGATTAAAAAGCAAGCAAACCACACACACACAAAATCCTTCTTGCTAAAAAGTGCCTTTGATAAATACCTTTCTCACAAATGGGCCCTATTACCCAGGTCAAAAAGCAGGAACAGTAAGCATTCACATTCCAGTTCTAGAAAACAGGAAATGAACTAGGCACAGTGTTCTTTGCTTTTCCTCACTAATAAAACACTTTGGCAGCTCATCCCAAGTCTCAAGGCTGCCTCAGTTCTGTTTGGTAGCCTGGCAGCCTGTGCATTCAAAACGGGGATCTATTGAAACTTGGGTTGGGAGGGTCTGACTTGGCCCTGAGCTTTGTAGTATGACCTTTTTTAAGGGGTGTGGTCATGTGAGTTTTTGAGAGCAGCCCAAATTTTGGCTAAATGGATCTTACTCTATTTAAGGAATTGGTTAGTGTAGGGTTCCCAGAGGGTTAGGTTTAAGGTGGTCTGTATACAAAACATCATTGAATTGTGATTAGGGAGATGGAAGGGTGGACGAAGCACAGGTAGGCACCTAGGTTCAGATACCTCTTCCTTACTTTACCAGCTGTAATGGCCTTCAGCAAATCACTTATCCTCTCTGAGGTATCTTTTTTTTTTTTTTTAAAGTTCATAGTGTGGGCAAGGAGATTGAGATAGCAGGTGAAAGCTCTTACTTTAATTCCTGGCACAGAGTAGAGACTCAGGTCATTTCTTTCTCTTCTGACTCCCTGGCACTAAGGAGGTTGGAGATTTCCTAATCTGTAAGTAAATAAACATCTGTCTAAGATTGATTAAACAGATTTCCTGAGGATAGATAGGGAAGGAGGTTAAAGTCAGATTTTTTTCTGGAGAAAAATATTGTTCCATTTAGTATAGGCTTGCTTTAAAATACAGGGTTTTAATGGAGCACTTGTATTTTGGTTTCCTAGCTCAGACTCTTAGGATGGGTCATCAAAATGGCTTAAAAAGAGACTGTAGGGTGTAAAAGGGTACATAAATTATTGTAAGTGCTATATATTGCATTCTTTATGTATGCTGAGGATTAAAACATAAATTGTCCTAAATAATAAAAGGAATTTAAAAACTTTAAAGATTTCTTTCCAACTGTCCCCCATAAAGGGAATTTATTAACTCATATTTAGGAAAGACTTGATTCTGCAACTCCGCATTTGCCTCTCAGGATGTCATATTTCTAATTCTTCCAGTAAGGTTCCCACTGACTTCCTGCTTTACCTATAGCTCGGGGCTTTCCTCTCAAGGTCACAAAATGACGATTGTACTTAAATACCTCATTCTCTTATACCATCAAGGGGAAGAGGCAGGAGACACAGCAAGCACCTCTTTCTCAGAGGGTCTCACAGTATATCTTCTGATACTCACTGGGCTCTAGTTGGTTTATGTGCTTGTCCCTGATCCACTAACTGGAGGGTGGGATGCCCCAATTGGCTGAGGCCTCTCAAAGCCTGTCCCTGGAGCAGGGATGGAATTAATCTTAACTAGACCACATGGCTAAGAATGGGAACTGAATGGTTTCCCATAGGACATTTTGGATTCTTGTTCCAGGAGGAAGGAAAGTTGCTAAGCAGCAAACCACAGTGATTAATTCAGATTTTTGAGCTGTCAACTAATAAAAGCCTTTTGTTATGGGTGTAGGGATCATCCCTGTATCATGTGGACTGGAGGCTGTAGGAGAATTCCAGTTTTGGTGTTCCATGCTGAGGCTATTCTGACAAAGGACAACAATATTCGTGTAATTGGAGGTAGGTATGGCGTCCCCGACAGTGGCAGGGTTGGGCGTGGCCCCAGTAACCTCTTCTTACAGAAGTTGATATCACATGTAAATAGGAAAAGGGCCTTGGTCATGAGAAAAATCTCATGATTTTTTTATACTTAAGAATTATTTGGAATTTCTTAAATTTGCTGCATCTTAAATTGCTTTCCTTCTTTGAATTCATTCTTCAGAATTATGTGTACATGTGTTGTTATTTTTTGTGATAAAAGACACAAAACAAAATGTACCTTTTTAACTATTTGAGAGTGTACACTTCAGTAGCATTTATACAGTCACAGTGTTGTACAACCTGCACTACTGGTAGTTCCAGAATGTTTTCATTATCCTAAAGTAAACTGTGTATCCATTAAGCAGTCACACCCTATGACCCCTTATTCCAGCTCCTAGTAATTGCTCATCTTTCTGTTTCTATCGATTTGCCCATTCTGGATATTTCATACAAATGCAGTCATAGAATATGTAGTCTTTTGTGTCTGGCTTTTTTCATTTAGCATAATGTTTTCAAGGTTTATCCATGTTGTAGCATGTATCAATACTTCGTTCCTTTTCCTTTTGTTTATCCATTCATCATTTGAAACAACAAAATTGGTAGTTGTTTCCATCTTTTGGCTCCTGTGAGTAGTGCTGCTCTGAAAATTGACATTCAAGCTTTTGTTTGAACACCTATTTTCAGTTCTTTGTTTGAACACCTCTTTCAGTTCTTCAGTTCTTTCAGTTCTATTTTCAGGTCTATGCCTAGGAATGGAATTGCCGGGTCTTATGGTAATTCTATGTTTAACTTATTAAAGAACTGCCAAAGGATATTCCATAGTGACTGCACCATTCTACATTCCCACCAACAATATAGGAAAGTTCCATTTTCTTCACATCCTCACTGACATTTGTTATTTTCTGTTCTTTAGATTATAGCTGTACCTAGTTGGTGTGAAGTGATATTGTGGTTTTGATGTTCATTTCCCTAATGACTAATGACATTGAACATCTTTTCATGTGCTGCATGGCTGTTTGTATGTCTTCTTTCTTCTTTAGAGAACTATTTATTCAAAGTTTGAATGGAGGTTTGAACTCATAATCCTGAGAGCAAGACCTGAGCTGAGATCAAGAGTTGGACACTTAACTGACTGAGCCACCCAGGCACCCCATCTTTGCCTATTTTTGAATCGGATGGTTTGACTTTTTTTTTTTAAATTTTTTTTGACTTTTTGTTGTTGAGTTAAAAGAGTTCTTTATACATTTTAGATACTAGACCTTATGAGATATATGATTTCCAGATTCTTTTTCCTGTTCTCTGATTTGTCTCTTCACTCTCTTGATAGTGTTCTCTTATGAACAAACGTTTTTCATTTTGATGTTGTGCAGTTTATTTTTTATTTTGTTGCAGATGCTTTGGGTGTCATATCTAAGGAATCATTGCCTAACCCAAGGTCATAATCCCTGTGCTTTCTTCTAAGAGTTTCAAAGGTTAAACTTTTTTTTTTTTTTAAATTTGTTTTTATTTATTTATGAGAGAGAGAGGAAGAGAGAGAGAGACAGAGACACAGGCAGAGGCAGAAGCAGGCTCCGTGCTGGGAGCCCGACCCGGGACTCGATCCCGGGACTCCAGGATTGTGCCCTGGGCCAAAGGCAGGCGCAAAACCACTGAGCCACCCAGGGATCCCATCAAAGGTTAAACTTACGTTTAGAGCTAAATGGTCTTTGATCCATTTTGGGTTAATATTTTTACATGGTGTGAGATAAGGGTCAATCTTCATTCTTTTGCATGTCAGTATCCAGTTGTCCCAGTGTGATTAGTTGAAGAGACTATTCTTTCCCCATTGAATAGTCTTGGCACTGTCATTGAAAGTCAGTTGACTATGGATGTATGGGTTTATTTCTAGACTTTTAATATTTTGTTTATCTTTTTGTTTAACTTCATACCAGTGCCACTTTGTTTGATTACTATGTCTTTGTACAAAGCTTTAAAATTGGGTTGTGTGAGTCCTTTAGCTTTTTTCTCCTTTTTCAAAAATTTTTTTGGCTATTCAGGAACTATTGTAATTCCAAATTAACTTTAGGATCAGCTTTTCTGTTTGAGCATAAAGGCTGTTTGGATTATGATGGGTAGCATATTGCCATCTTAGTGTTAAGCCTTCCAAGCCATAAACATGGGAAGTCTTGTCATTTATTTAGGTCATCTTTAATTTCTTTATCAATGTTTCATAGTTCTCACTGTATGAGTTTTAGAGTTTTTGGTTAACTTTATTCCTAAACATTTTATTCTCTTTGGTGTTATCATAAATGGAATTATTTTCTCAATTTCATTTTTGGGTTGTTTATTGCCAGTGTGCAGAAATAAAACCGACTTTTGTATATTGATCTTGGATCCTGAAACCTTGCTGAATCCATGTATTAGCTCTAATAGTTTGTGTGTATGTGTGTATTCTTTAGCATTGTCTGTATATAAGATCATGTCATCTGCACATAGAGATTTTACTTCTTCCTTTCCAACCTGGATGCCTTTTATTTCTTTTTCTTGCCTAATTGCTTTGGCTAGAACTTCTAGTACAGTGTTGAATAAAAGTGGTAAAAATGGGCATCTTTCTCTTGCTTGTTTCTGTTCTTAGGGGAAAGCTTTCAATCTTTCACTGTTAAGTATGTTATTAGCTGTAAGTTTTTCATGAATGCCCTTTATCATGTTGAGGAAGTTTCCTTCTATTCCTTTGTTTACTGTTTTTATCATGCCAGGGTGTTGGATTCTGTTAAATGCTTTATCTGCATTAATTGAAAAAATTTTTTTCTTCATTCTATTAATGTGGTATGTTATGTTGATTGACCTTTGTATATTGAACCATGCTTGCATTCCTGAGATAAATCCCACTTGGTCATGATAATCTAACCCTTTTAATATGCGGTTTGATTTGGTTTGCTGGTATTTTATTGAGGGTATTTGTATCTATATTCATGAGGGGTTTTGATCTGTGGTTTTCTTGTAATGTCTTTATCTGGATTTGGTATTAGAGCAATGCTGGCCTCATATAATGAGTTCCCTCCTCTTCTTTGGAAGAGTTTAAGAGGGATTGGTGTTAGTTCTTCAAATGTTTGAAGAATTCACCAGTGAATCCATGTATTTGGGGCTTCTTATTGGGAGGTTTGTGATTACTGATATAACCTCTACTTGTTATATGTCTATTCATATTTTGTATTTTGACTCAGATTTGGTAAATTTGTATGTTTTTAGTTTTTGTTCATTTAGTTTATCTAATTTGCTGGCATACATTTATTCTTGGTATTCTTTGTTTTTCATAGTATTCTTATGTAATCCTTATTTCTGTAAGGTCAGCAGTAATGTTCCTATTTCACTTCTGATTTTAGTAATTTGAATCTTTTCTCTTTTTTTCTTAGTCTAACTAAAGGTTTGTCAATTTTGATCATTTTAAAGAACCACCTGTTAATTTTGCTTATTTTCTCTATTGTTTTTTAGTCTCAATTTCATTTATCTCCACTCTTCTTTTTGATATTCAGCAGTGCTCTGAATTCTAGGGTTAGCCTGTAGCTATCTTCAGAGGTTATAGTACCATGGATCAGAACTGCTGTGTGATATAGTAGAAAGAGTCTATATGTGGGTTCTATACATTGGTTCAAATCCCAGCTTTGGCATTTACTAGCTGTGAGTCTGGCGCAAATCACCTAAACTCTCTCAACTGTTTTAGTGAGGTGGAGATAAAAGCTACCTTGTAGGCATTGTACGAGTTAATGAGATCATTTAATATTTGGTAAATAGTGGGTACTCAGAATTTGTGCTACTTACTCTACTTGTTGAATAGGATCTGTTCTACTTTGAAATGACTTTAAGATCTGTTCTTGCTCCATAAAATAAGCCAGGAGTTCAGAGGACAGTGAACACCTGCTTCTGGGATTTGAATCCTCTCTCCCCAAGGGTCTTGTTCTAATCCCTTCAGCAAGTTGCTAGGTTACCACTTAAAGGGATATGGTTCACTCAAGTTCTCTGAATTTGGAGGAACTGAAGATTGCTAACATTTGCAAAGAAACTCCCTTTCAATACAATTGAAGTCAAAACATCAAAGGTAGGTAAAAACAATAGAAGTAAATAATCTCCCCCAAAACAGATTTCTTTTGGTCTGCTTGTCACATAAGTGAATCTCTGTATTTGTGGCGGTAAGCAGACCATTCTTTTTTAGAGTACTGAACATTTATTGGAAATTAGTATCTATCCGTGTTAACCCACTGTTCAAGCAGTCCCTGTGTTTTAGAACTTACATGTCTGTTTTTTTTTTTTTACCCTTTACACATTCTTGTGATTGAAGAAAAAGCCACTGAACTTTTTTCTCAAACTTTGTGTTTTCAATTTTCTGTATCTTTCCAATTCTTTGAGGTTTCATAATTTTCTAAACCTTCCTTTATGAAAGGAACAGTTTTTAAAAAAGATTTATTGATTTTAGAGAGCATGAACAAGGGGAGGGGCAGAGGGAGAGGGAAAGAGTCTCCAGCAAACTCCCCACTGGGCAGACAGCCTGACATGGGGCTCTATCCCAGGACCTTGAGATCATGACCTGAGTTGGAGTTGGATGCTTCACCAACTGAGCAAACCCAAGCACCCCTGAAAAGAGCAATTTGAGTGTTTCTAGTTGCTATCTCAGATTTCTGAATTGTTAAATATTCTAGGTCTTTTTCTTTTCTTTTTTTCTCTCTTCTCTTAATAGCTGACATAGATCTGCTCAGATCATAATCCTGTGTTTAAATCCCCTTGAGAAGTGTTTCTGGGGCATTAGTTATCTTCTGCTGATCTTAGAGTGTTAGATGCCAGTCTTGTTTTTCTGTGATCTGTTAAATGTTTCATTGAATTTACTGTTAATATTTTTGGTACAGTATGATTTCATATGGTTTATTTGTGAAATATTCCAGAAATACATTCTTTCCCTACTATTTCCGTGTTTTTTTCAAAATTGCATAAACTTTGAACATGTAAAT